TAGATTCTGTTTGTACATATTTGTTTTCAGGATGTCTCTCTCTTTAGAGTGTGATCTCCTTGAAAGCAAGGACTTTCTTTTCCATTTCTTTACATCACCAGCACTTAATACAGTGCTTGACACATAGTAGATGCTTAATAAATACATATTGGCTGACTGTGTAGAAAAGCAAACCAAAAAATAAAACAAAAAACCAACAACAGGAGTTTTTGGTCTCAGCTAAATCTCTTGAAAAAGTTATCTACACTTTCCCCACTTCCTCTCTCTCTCTCTTAAAACTCTCTTCGATCTCCTTTCTGATCTTATTTAACTGAAACTGTTGTCTCCAAATACACCAATGATCTCTTACTTGCCAGCTCTAATGGCCTTTTCCTATCTGCCTCCTTTTTGACCTGTCAGCAACATTTGATGTTGTTGACCAAATAAACTCTTCTTGAATGCACTTTCCATTGTATGTCCTCTCACTGTGGGTATAAATCAAAATTCTGTCCTAGGCTCCCTCCTCTTTTCCCTCACTAGTTTCTCCTTTGGCAATTGTCTTAGCTCCCATGGGTCCAATAATAATCTTTACGCAGAGGACTCCCAGATTCCTATAGTCAATCCTAGTCCCTCTCCTGAGTTTCAGTCTAACACAGAGGTTCCCAAACTCATTTGGCTTAGTGAGCCCTTTAAAAAACAATTACTCAGCAGTCCCCTGGAAATCTATTCTCTTTAACCTTATAACTTTTTTGAAAATTTTGCATCATTTAAAAAAGTAATTTTTTAAAATGACACATCTTAAATTTATTAATTTATTGTAAATTTGGGTTTTTTTCCTGTGTTGAAATTTTGATGAAGCAACATTGCATCATGTAACCATATAGTATCGTATTGTAAACAAGTCATTACACTCACATATTCCTGCTGAGGACACTAAACTTCTAGACAATGCACAACATGCTTGCCTGTCAAACATAAAACACTTGCTTATTAAGAGCTGTCAGTGGACTTGACCATTGATTGGTTGTAATTTGCATTTTGTGTGTTTATTTGGAAAATAATGTAATCACTATGACTTTAACTGTGTTATGAAACAGATGAAATGTGTACAAATGGTTTTGCAAAATTTTCTTCTCTTCTTTCCTTATGCTTCCATAGCCCCCTTATTTTTTATTCAGTGCTCCTTCCCAATTGTAGCTGAGGCTACTACAGACCCCATGGATTATTTCAGTGCCTCCCAGAGGGTGGTATCACCCACTTTGGGAACCTCTGGACAGCATAAACTGCCTATTGGCAAGTTTTGAAGGCACCTCAAATTCAACATGTCTAAAGCAGAACTCATTTTCTCTCCCCTAAATGAACCCCTCTTTCTAACTTACTAAAAACCATGAGGGAAGCACTATCCTTAAAGTCACCCAGTGTTGCAACTTCAGTTATCTTCACCTTTTTGCTCTCACTCGCTCCACATATCCAATCAGCTGAGAAATCTTGTTTCCATTTTCTCAACGTCTCTTGTATAGATCCCCTTCTGTTCATTTACACAGCCTGAACCCTCGTTGAGGCCCTCATCACCTCTCTCCTGAACTATTGCAATAGTCTCCTAATAGGTCTCCCTGCCTCAAGTATCTCCCTAGTCTAATCAACCCTTCATGTATTTGCTAAAATGATTTTTTCCCAAAGCACAGGTCTGACAATGTCACCTCCCCAGTCAGTAAACGCCAGTGGCTATGACCTCTAGGATCAAATACACTCTGTTAAGCATTTAAAGTCCTTTGCAACCTGTGCATTCTCATCTTTCCAGTCTTGTTATCCACTAATGTACTCCATGCATTCTACGATTTGGACATAATATCTTGCTTGCTGATCCTCACACCCAAAGCCTCATCTCACATCTCAGGGCCTTGTCCCTGACTGCCCCTAGATATCCATCTTCAATTCTACTCCTTAAAATCCTTAATTTCCTTAAAAATCCAGCCTAAGTCCTGTGAATACATTTCTTTCTAAGGAATACATCCTCTCTCCCTCATCTGTCTCTTTGTATATACACACACATATAAAAGTACATATATATGTGTATGTATATCTTTATTTGTACAAGTGCACATAAAAAGGCATATAGAGGTACTTGTACATATATAGGTATTTAAAGTATATTTACAAATATGCAAACATATATTAATAGGAGTATAGATAAGTACTTATAAAGGTAGCTTTCTCTATGTGTGTGTATATAAAATGCACATTTCTTTTTTAAAACATTTATTTAGCACTTACAGGAAATTGTGCTAAGCATTTTATCCTTATTATCCCATTTGATACTCATAATAGCCCTGGGAGGTAAGTACTATTATTGTCTCCATTTTATAGACAAGGAAACAAAGGCAAACAGAGATTTAAGTGACTTGCCCGGGATCACACAGCTGGTAAGTGTCAGAGGCTGGTTTTGAACTTAGGTCTTCCTGACTCTAGGTCCAAAGCTCTACCCTCTACAAAATCTAGCTTCTGGTCTATATACATCTGTATATCTATAAAGATAGCCACTGGCTACCTCTATATATCTTTATACGTACCTGTTCCACTTGTTAAAATGTAACATCCTTGAGGGCATTCATTGTTTTCTATTTTTCTTTCTAACTCCAAATCTTAGTATAGTTCCTGGCACACAGAAAGGATTTAATAAATATTTATTGATTACTTGATTGTTTGTAGGGAATAGATGGAGGGTGGGATCATTGAAAAGTGAATACTATGTAAAAATGAAACTCATTTTTAGAAGTTTTTGAAAATAAAGTAGGAATTCAGGTGTCATAGATGATTCTGTGTTCCTCCTACAGTCTCAGGTACAGAGAACAAAAGCAGGATTTGACATTCTTAATTACAACTCCTGAGCTATTTCTTATTCCCTTAGGCATGCCTTGTGTATTGGTCATAGGACCATGGCTTTCTGAAATCTGGAGATTCTATTAGTCATTGGAGAGAATTCAGGTAACAATACTCATACAAATATAGTGCGTAACCATTTTGTACCAGTATGAAATCTATATGCTTTTGCATAGATGACTCAATCAAATTGTCTACTTGCTGAGGAGTCGTTCAAACTTTTTCCTCCTGTGATCCTTTTTAGGATATAATAACCACTACCACTCTTGCCAATGTCAGCATCACTAAAGATCTTGAAGGCTGTTTGACATTGTCCAAATGAAGAATTCAGAAGGTGAAGGAAAATAGTTCATCCCAAAAACTCTTTTAGAGCTCTGCAGCACCAATTTCTATAATGCCTTGAAACTTCCTCTTGAACCAATAAGATCCCTTCACCTATTTCAGAAACATTGCTGTAAGAGTCTAGATGGTTATGAATTCATCAAATATTTTATCTTGTCATTCATTTTGGTTCCTGAGTCATTAGAAATACAGTATTTACCCGTCACTTGTTTTATGACTCATCACCAGTCTTTGAAATTAGTGTAGGCATTGGACTGAAACCTAAAAGAAATCTTAAGATTATTTCAAATAAAAAACTGTTTAAATGTGCTAGTTGCAGACTTTTTCAGAATCCTGATTTTCCACTGTTGCTCATTATAAGAATAGTATTTAAGTGCTAGAAGTTCTGATAAATCGTTTTGTGGTAAGATTGAAAATCTTTAAGAAATTACAATTAAAGTTTTATTAACATGTCTACCACAGAGACTATATGATGTAATCAATAGAATGCAGCAAACCTGGATTTGACTTTCACCTCAGGAATTTATCAGTGGAGAGGTTGTGGGAAAGATATAGCTTCAGAGCCTTAAAATTCTCAACTACAAAAAGGGCATAAGTGCACTATTTATTTAGCACTTCTTAAACTGTGGGTTTGCAACCCTGGCTGTATAACTGAATGTGGGGGTGGAGAAAAATTCGGCAACAATAAAAAGTTTCTGAATGTGCAATGACCAAAAATTAATTCAAAATCAAAGCATTAAGAATCTGAGGTGTTTCTGGAAGCACTTGCCCCATGGTGTATCACACAACTTTCCTGCAGGCTTGGCTCTGAACACACAACATGGGTACTTTGCATGGCATCATGCCATGCAATGTCAATGAACACCACCAAAAACACCTCAGCTTAGTTTCAAGACTATTGTATGTTATGAATTGCAGTGTTTTTACTATACATACAAAGTTTTTTGCTCTTACAGAAATATAATAGTTTAATTAATGGAAAATAGAGACTTTTAATATTTTCCTACCATTATTCCTCAGCATTTAAGTATCAAATTAGTATATCTTTAGATTATATTGTGTCAGAATATTTGATTTTTAAAATTGTTATCTCTTTCTTTTACAGACACATAAGCGTTTAATTGCAAAAAGGAAAGACAAAAGCCCTTTAATAATATTCTATACCATCACCATTGTATATGTATGTAAATGCAAACATTAATTTTTTAAATTAAGCACAAACAAATGCAATTTCATAAACTAAAGCTATTATTTGTTTGAAAAATTATTTGTAGTATTTATTTATATTTTAGGAAAAAATGTTTTTTTGTTTCTGGATAAGTGGCTAAATTTAGACAGAAATGTAAAAGTACTGATAACAATGCAAAAGAATCTTTGCTTTAGTTGTAGTACAACTAAATTGACAAGAAAAAGAAAATGTGTTGAATCATTTTTGCAATATGGATTTACTTCTAATAATGATGATAGTGTGGAAAAACCTCTTTGCCTAATTTGTAATAAGGTTTTAGCTGCAAAGAGCATGAAACCAACCAAACTAAAATGATATCTTAATACCAAGCATGCAGCATGCTGCAATAAAATAAAGGAATATTTTGAACAACTTAAAAAATCATCAAATAAAGAAAAACAATATTTTGAGAAATTTGTTATCGTCAGTGAAAAGTGTTTATTGTAAATAAACAAGCACAACCATCTCATTAAATGTATGCAAATTTACTTTCATCTTTAATCAATGGTAAAATTATATGTATACTAAAGAATTGTTTTAAAATAAATTTCCTTATTATTTATTATCATTAAATATTTTATTTGTATATCGATTTTATATCCCTATATACACAGGGCCACATAAAAATTTCTTGGGAGAAAAGGGGTGGCGAATCATAAAAGTTTTAAGGAATGCTTTATAAACCTTTAAGGGCTATACGTATTTGATTGATGATGATGATGATGAGTATAAAAAGAGAAATTCAAAATCCTCTGTTAAGGAATCAAGACATCTACACAGAAAACAAAATGATAATAGAATAAGAAGATAGTGCACACTTTCTCCTGATTGTAATTTCCAATAAGATTGAAGAACATAAAAAGTTAGTCAACTAATATTTACTACATACTAAGTGCTAGGGATACCAAAAAAAAAAAGTCTGAGACTAAACTGAAAGAAACAACATAGCCCTTTTACAATTTAGTAATGGGCATTTGCTTTAATCCCAATACCTCAAAGGCTACATTTAATTAATCCCAATTTGGTTCATCTGTAATGTTCTGGAAATTGGCTCTCTCAGTTTACTACACCCTATAGACATACCCTAATGTCAACTCCAAGGAAATCCCTTTTGAATTGTTAAGAAAATTATAAGATGTACTCAGAGTCTCCTGCATTCTCATTCTTCACATCCTCAAAGTTTCAGAGCCCACAATTTATTTCTGTATATTCTGGTGCCAAGAACTAATAATCAAGTAAACTGCCAATGACCAATAAATCCTCTTCAAGGAAATTTAGGTGAGAGAAAGAAGTTTTATTTGTTTTTACTAAAATGCTAATATTTAGAAACACTTGTTTCTCTAAGTTCTTCTAGTTTCTCACAGTTTGAAAAATTTTGTTATCAATTCTTTGTGACTTTTCTAAAATCAAAATTCTGCATTTGGATTGTAGTACTATATGCAGAATTCTTATGCAGCCTGACCAGTTCTGAATACCAATGGAGCATTCACTTGACAAGGTATACTGGTAAGGGCACAACATTATTTTCTAAGAAAGTGATCACAAATAGCATATGTGTTAATCATTATTTAACTTGTCTGAATAATGGGGGCTGTGATGGGTTTTCAGGCAGCTATTAAGCTAAAAAAAAAAGACAATTTAATGTTGACTTTCAAACCAATTAAAAATTAATAATCCCTTACAGCTGCATAATTTGTATCTTTAGCAGATATTTTCTAATTTGAAGTAGTAGTGACATTTCCATTTTTTCCTTTTTCAAAATCTTGATAGTATTTTGAGGATTGTTCTTTGTTTTTCGATATTAGAGAAATAAAATCAAGAATCTAAAGCAGTCTCTGTTTAATTCCAGGAATGAATTGAAAGAAAATATCACATTGCTACCTGAGTGAGCAAAAGGTGAAGATGAGTCTTAGAGAGGATAAATGTATGGTAATGCATGTAATGAAAAATTGTACTAGTCATACCTGAGATGCTTGATTCTATGGAGGGTTACATAAAGATAGATATTGTTAGTACATACTGAATCCAAAAATCCTAGATGAACATAATAAAAAAGGTCACTGGAAGGAAAGCAGAAAGGTCATTATATCTCACTAGATACCAGATACCTTGGGCAGTTAATATCACTGATCTCTAAAAAAGACATAACACATCAGGTAAAGATTTTTTGGACAATTACAGTGATCAAAGAAATAGAAAAGCTTTCATATGACAATATACTAAAGGAACTTAGGCTCTATGAAAATGGCAACTAAATACTAAACTTTTTTTGAACTGAACCTGTATATTCATTGCCATATGGCCCTTTCAATAAGAAAGCTACCTCTACCAATGCAGATTGAACCCTGCTTTACAATTTAGAGTCTTAAAGACTTTGGGGCTCTGAGAGGTCAAATCATTTCCTCAGAGGCTTACAGTCAATAGGTCAACTTACATGTAGGCGCAACTGACTCTGATACTAGAATGCCTCCGGTAGATAATAGAAATTAATATAAATCTTGTATATCATGACGAATATGAGCATAGATTGTTTTTCCACCAGAACCAATAAAATTAGACCTTAAAGATGTACCTTTAAATTTGAAACTCAAAGTAGTACAAGCTAAAGGAAGATCTTCTTTATACAGTGATACATAAACTTCTCTTATATGTTACTGCAAGATGTGGTTTTGGTTGAAAAGAACATTTACAAATACTTTGGAAAAATTCAATGGGTTAAAGTAGCACAAATGGATCTTAGGACATTTAGCATTTTCATAACCTTTGAAGACGTGCATTAAGAAAGACAATACATGCTATTGCCATAGGCACTTTCATGTTATTGTTATGCAATTCAGAATTGGGTAGGATTTGGATATGACTCATAATTCTTGGGATATTTCCAAGCCACAAAACTCAAAACATTTAAAAATATGCAGTTTTAATACGTATATACCATTGCAAAAATACCTGCACATAAAAATTCAATTTTTAAAAATTAACATTCTGTTACTACCATTTTAGATGTCTTGAAACAATAAGATGAATTCTCTGACCTCTGATCATAGACTAAGCTTTCATAACTCCATGAAGAGAAGCCTTTTGTGTATATAATATTGAATGAATTAATGAACAATCACTTTTTAAAGGCTTATTATGTGCCAAGCACTGTGCTAAACTCTAGGGTGTCAACTACATAAACAAAGATGGCCTCTGACCTTAAAGAGCGCACATTTAATAGGCAGTGATGTAGCTAAGGGAGTGGTAGCCAGAGAGGTGCGCTGAAGTCTGGAAAGTTACAGAGGTTTTGAGTTGAACCCTAAGGAAACAGATTGACACACCCCTTCCCGGAGCAAGGACAGATTTTATCTTAGTTCTTGATTGAGGAACTGGAGCAGGGATTAGGAGAAGCTACCTGGCAGGCTCTGGAGTAGGTGGGCAGATGGAACTTGTTTTCTGTTTGTTGTTGTTAGTCTTTCCTTCTGGAAGGGGACTATGACATCAGCAAGGAGATGTCATGACATGCAAGTGAATTGGATTTAAGTGAGGCAAAGTTACCAGCCTCACTTTCTCCTCTGGACCATCTGGTGAGGTGGTTACTCTCCTAAACAGTATTTTAAAAAATGCCTATGTCCAACCAATCTTGTACTTTACCTGGAATTCAAAACTTCGGTGGCTTACGACTAGATAAACTGACATTTCAGGGAGAATAATCCTTCCTTACGCCTGACCTGTATTAGATTTTAGGAGATAACACAGGAGGAGAGAAGAGGTGCCTTTTGGCTAAAGAAGTAAGGAAGAAGGGGATAGGGCATTACATTCTTATGTATATACAATTCCTGTTTTCAACAGAAAAGCTCAAGATGGCTGAGGAAAATCACACCTTGACAACTGACTTTATCCTCATTGGATTTACAAATCACCCAGAGATGAAGGTCATATTATTTGTAGTATTCCTTGTAATCTATCTGATAACCATTGTTGGGAATCTTGGACTGGTGATATTAATTTCAACTGAACCTCGACTTCATACACCTATGTATTTCTTTCTTGGTAACTTGGCTCTTATGGATGCTTGCTGTGGCTGTGCTGTAACTCCCAACATGTTGGTGAACCTCTTTTCCAAGGATAGGATGATTTCCATCTATGAATGCATGACACAATTTTATTTTCTTTGTGTGGTTGAAACTTCAGACTGTTTTCTCCTGGCAGCCATGGCATATGACCGTTACGTGGCCATCTGTAACCCACTGTATTATCCCATCATGATGTCAAAGAAGCTCTGCATTCAGATGCTCATGGTGTCATACATAGGTGGTAATCTGACTTCTGCAGTTCATGTAAGTTTTGTATTCAGGTTAATTTTCTGTAGGTCTCATCGAATAAACCATTTTTTTTGTGATGTAATTCCATTGTTCAGACTGTCCTGTGTTGACCCTTATATTAATGAACTGATGATGTATATGTTTTCAGGCTCAATTCTAGTCTTTACCATACTCATTATCTTAGTTTCTTATCTTTACATCCTTTTCACTATCTTCAGAATGAAATCCAAGGAGGGGCGAGGCAAAGCATTTTCTACCTGTGCATCCCATTTTGTGTCTGTCTCGGTATTCTATGGTTCTCTTCTCTTCATGTACATTCGACCAGGTTCTGTTAATGAAGGAGATAAAAACATGCCAATTGCTATTTTTTATACAATAGTCATTCCCTTTTTAAACCCTTTTATTTATAGCCTGAGGAACAAGGAAGTAATCAGTGTCCTGAAAAAGAATCTGAAGAAAAAAATGTCTTGGGATATTTGAAACAAAATTTATTCTTCATGACTTATTCATTCAAGTACAATAAAAATTTATTCTCCGTGACTTATTGATTCAAGTACAATAAAACTTTTCCTAAGAAATGACACAGAGAAAATAAATCTACATTTTTGTTATGTATCATTAAATTACATAACCCTAAGGTTGAATTGAGCCAACAATATATAAAGGAATAAATAAGTTCAAGAATATTTTTTTTTACTCTAAGACTAAAATCAATCCAGCAGGGAATCATTTATTGTTTCTTACGTACCAGGCTCTGTGCTAAGCACTTGGAATGTGGAGACAAGAGTGGAACAGTCCCCAGTCCCTCTATATTAGAATGTAAATTATAATAGCTTGGAGAAAATTTATGGATATACAGACATCTACAAAGCAGATACAAGGTAACATTGAAAAAATTAGCAATTGGAGAAGATCAAATAAAGTCTCCTATAGAAAATGGCTTCTCTTGACATCTTCTCAAGTAAGCATTTTTGAAAGTTTATTTCCATACAATATGTCTCCTGTCCCTTTATTATAGCTGGAAGAGATCTCTGAGGCCATCTACTCCAGCACATTCATTTTGCAGATGAGGAAACAGACCAAGAGGAAGCTAAGTTCCTTACCCAAGATTACATGGGATTCAAACATGAGAGGAAGGCTTTGAACTCAGGTCCTTCAACTAATGATCTTTCCACTGTCCCACACTTCCCATCTCTTTTGTGGCACTTGCTGCCATTCATACGATTTCAAGGTCATTATTAGCAACCTAACCTGGAAATGACATGTCAACAAATTTAAGCAATTTTTTATCTAATCATATTCAGTTTATCTGTAAGCAGCCAAGGTCACCAAAAACATTTGACTAGAACACATTTTTTACAAAGCATATAAAAGACAGAAATGGGACTCATCTCCAAGCCCCAAGTTAGCAAGGAAGAGTGCGTAGTTAACAACTCTTCCCAGAAATTTAGTCCTCATCTCCATACGGCCTGGCCCCTCCCCAAATGTAGATTCTCTCCTCCCCAGTTATTCCCAGGTTCAAGGACTATTTTTGGTAAATTAGAAACTCAAAACCATAGTTCATGGACCCCCACCAATATTTCTTTTATTAGACCTCCAGAGAAGCTAGGTGATTTGACAATGATCACATAGCAACTAAGCATCAGAGGAAAGATTTGAACGCAGTAGTTCACTACAAAAGATAAGTAACAGCACTGCAAAATAAATAACAAGGAAATCTTCACCCAAAATACAGGGTTACACTTTCTTTCAAATGCCTACACCACCTCAATTTAATTCAATAGAAATTTATTAAGCATCAAACATATATGTATGCGTACATACATATATATACTGAGACATCATTGAACTGTTGCCACAAACTAGATGGTGTATGTACGTGTGTGTCCTGCGATGATAATCTCATCAAACTGTTGCTACAGAGTAGTGCCCGCTGCTTTGCTATTTGCCTTGTTGCTGCCACCTTCAGGCCTTTCTTGGAAGTAAAATCTGCCTATGTTTCCTCTGTGAGTTTTCCTCAGCTCTCAGCAGCAGCCTTGTTAGGCAATCAGGCCGACAAGCAGTAAGTATTTATTAAGCCCATACCATGTGCCAGGCACTGTGCTAAGCATTGGCCATACAAAGAAAAGAAAAGACTGTCCCTACCCTCAAGGAGCTCATTATCTAATGGGCGGGAGATAACAAATATATGTTCAAACAAGCTATATATTGGATAAATAGGAAATAATTAACAGAGGGAAAACACTAAAATTAAGAGGGATTGGAAAGACTTCCTATAGAAGGTAAGATTTTAGTTGGTACTTGAAGGAAGTCAGATAAGTCAGTAAGCAGTGATGAGAAGGGACAGCATTTCAGCCATGGAGGACAGCCAGTTAAAATGTTTGGAACCAAGAAACGGAGTATGTTGAAAGAGCCAGGAGCCCAGTGTCACTGGATCAAATCGTGGGGTGTAAGGTGTAAGAAGACAAGAAAGGGGGTGGGGAGGGTAGCTAGAGTTCAAATCTAGCTCAAGATACTTACCAGCTGTGTGACTCTGGGCAAGTCCCTTAACTTGTTTGCCTTAGTTTCTTTAACTGTAAAATGGTGATAATAAGAGCAATCATTTCATAGCATTGTTGTGAGGATCAAATGAGACAATATTTGTAAAGTGCTTAGCACAGTTCGTGGAACATAGCAGCTACTAGATAAATGCATATTCCTTTCTCTTCCCTCCAGATGAAGGTGAAATAAAGAAAATTATTAAAAACTCATTTCTTCAATTACATCTGAACAAAATTGATAATTAAAATGAAATAGATGAATATTCGCAAAAATATGAAATGCTCAGATTAATGAAATAAGAAATAAAGCATTTGAATCAGCTAATCTCAGAAAAAGAAATTTTCTCTCAAAGGAGAAAAAAGAAAATGAAGCAGATGAATTTAAAAGTGAATTTTATCAAATAAGTGAAGAACAATGAACTATATTACATAATAATTTGTAAACATAGGAAGAGGGATCTTATTAACTCCTTCTATGAGACTAATACAATTCTAATAACAAAATGAGGAAGAGATGAAGCAGAGAAAGAGAATTACAGAACACTATCCCTAAGAAATAGCAATACGAAATATTGAATAATACATCACCAAAGATTCTACAACAAAAATTTTTTTTAAAAATATTATATGCTATGGTCATATTAGATTTATTCCAAGAATACAGAATTGATCAATATTAAACATAATAGATTTTATCAATAAAAAGTAATAAAATCAGATGAAAATATCAAATAGGTACAAAAAAGATTTTTCCCAAAATATTAGCAAGCATAAGTATAAATGGACTATTGCTTAATACATGGTAATGGTAAGTCATATCTATCTAAAAATCAAGAATGAATGGATGAATAAAGTGTTTATTAAGCACTTACTATATGAAAAGCACTGTTCTAAGCACTGGGGATACAAGTCAAAAAGTAAAACAGTCATGGGTTTCATGAAGCTCACATTCTAATGGAGGAGACAAAAAAAATGGATAATTTCAACTGTAAGTCTGATGGAGAGGTTCCATGGTCCTTAAAATGCGGCAGCAAAGCAGATGGCAATGTCTCTTCTTTAATGTCATCTTTGCTGATAAGGATAAGTACAGTGGAGAGAGCACTGGGCCTGGAGTTAGGAAGATTTGAGTCCAAATCCAGCCTCGGACACTTATTAGCTCTGTGACCTTAGGTAAGTCATTTAACCTCTGCTTGCCTCAGTTTCCTCAACTGTAAAGTCCCAAAGCCTTTTAATTATGCATACCCTTTGACCATATGTTACTACTTTAAGGCATATACTTCCAAGGGTTCAAAGACAGAATACAGATCCCATATGCACAAAAATATTTATAGCAATACCTTTTCTTTTAGAAAAGAACTGGGAGCAAAGTGGGTATCCATCAATTGAGGAATGGCTGTAGAAATTATGGTATATGAATGTACCATTAGATATTATTGAAAGGAACAAATCTGGAGAAACCTAAGAAGAGTTTCATGAGTTAATTCAGAGGAAAGTGAGAAAAACCAGGAAAAAATTATACAATTATTGTAAGGGGGAAAAACCAAAACTAGAAACTAGAAAGAAAACTGAAGACTGAAAAACCATAATCACTGCAATGACCAGTCAAGACTTCAGAATATTTATGATGAATCACGCTTCCTATCTCTTGGCAGAGGCATGATGAACTAAAAGTACAAAATGAGGCATTTTCACAGAGGATCAATATCAATTTGTTTTTATCTTTCTATGGTTATTTATTACAAGGGAATATTTCTCCCCACACCACCCAGGGAAGAGTTTGGGAGAAGAATGTTAGTGAAAGTGACACTTAAAAAAAGAAGGAAAGAAAGAGCATCAATGGATCATTCTTAAAATATGCAAGAGAGAGCAGAAGGAAGTTAATAAGGGGACACAGAGAAGCAGGACAATATTGGAGACACCATGCTAGATTAAATATTTATGTATACATTTAAAACAAACTGCATGAATAGAGATTCATAGTGTCATATACAATACTCTTTTTGTGTTCTTTGTGTAAGGAAATGTTCATGACTGTTGATTTTTGCCAAATTATAATGACTAAAATTTTTTAAAACATTCAGAAGTATGCTCCATCTAGGTAGAAAACCACAAACTTTCTTCTTTAACCACACACACACAAAATGCATTTCCTTAGTCATTTTATATCTCTGAAGCAAAAATTTCAGGTGATTTAATTTTTATGCAAGTGAGAACTGTGAAAGATGTATTAATTTTCTTCTCTTTGGAACAGTGATGCTTGCCTGAAAAGCCTGAGTTCCTCACATTTTCACTGGTTTTGATTTTGTGTATATGTAAGATACTTGAAATTTGAGATAGAGCTGAGTCATACAGTATTCCACAAATATACTTATTGTAAAAATGCACTTTTCAGCCTAAATATAGGGTTTCATTATATCAAATTCATCAAATTCTTCCCGCGGTATGATAATTTATCATAAATTTTTACCATACCATAAGAGGCATAAGATTTTTAGAAAATCTTTTTTTAAAACAAAATAGAAAGTCAATATAAAATGAAAATGGCTAAGTCTAGCTGTACATTATCTCTGAAACATTAACACATTCTTGTAGAATTAAACTAGGAAGAAACAACTAAAACCACATCCTCTTCTATGTCTTGAGAGGCATAAAAAGGTTGTGTCTTTGGTTATCTTAAATAACCTGCCCTTTCCCCTCCACCCACTCCCTAAATTTAGTTTAGCTATTAAATGTAAATTTTAGACTACAAATTTCAACATTATTAGCTTCATAAATATTATTTATAATTAAGTGCTATGACATATTATAATCACACAAGAATTCTCCTAGGGAGAAGTGTGTTTCACTTTACACTCTTCAGTGCTAAAACCTGAAGTATAGTTTCTTCATCTATAAGGCTTCCTAAGTATAGGACAAAAAATATAAGCATAATTTATTAAA